TAGTCGTATAGTGCAAGCGAAATCTCCATTTTGTCGATGGACATTATAGTCTAATCATATTAGACGAAAATACCCCTGGTTTGCGAAATAATTGTAAAGTCTGGTTTTATTACTGCAAGTTGTTCTAGAGGGTATTCAAAACATGGTCCCATAAAATGGGTACACCAATTTTTGTGGGAAAACTTTTTATTCGACAACAAAGAATGAGAAAACGCGTTTTTTGGGATTCAATCGAAAGTGTTGGCAGGAACGAAAAAACTCTTGACACAAGATTTTGAGGTATTTATGAGGCCTACAGAATGAGATCATACGTAAAAAGATCCGACTAATGGTAAAAGAGCTATGGCCGAAAACCGAGGCAAATTGCAGGTTTTGGCACTTGTTAGTAATGTGACGTTGGTTTCTCGCAGATATTCGAAATTCTTCAAGTTCGTAGGATTTGTATTTCTTAATAACCACAACAAAATTGGAGTAGATTGGTCAACTAGTTTTTGAGAATTTCTAATTGCTTATCCCAAAATACCTGTTTTCCTGCCATCACTACTAAATATAATATACAGAGTTAGGTCAAAGGGCATTTTATTTACTAGTTTACTTTGCCGATATGAACCGCAAACCATTCCGGAACATAAATATTTTTATGCAAAAAAGGATGGGTTACGTTTTTACCTCTAAACAAATTCCAACACTTCGTATTTGTAAGTAATTTGCAACAAGAGATGATAAATACATCCGCTTTGTTTTAAAATGTATATTGTAATGTATGCATTTCGAATATCGTAACGCATTTGTTCAATTACTTGCAAACACGAATTGTTTGAATTTGTTTAGAAGAAAAAAACGTAACCTTCGTTTTTCGCATAAAAATAACATTTATCTTACGGAATGGTTTGTGATTCATATCGGCAAGGTAAACGCGTGTATTTTGCTATTAAATGCTCTTTGAATGAACCCTGTATATTGCTTAATAAACTAGTAGTGATGGCCGGAAGACAGGTGTTTTGGGATAAGCAATTAGAAATTCTCAAAAAACTACTTGAAGAATATAATCCGATTTTGTTGTTGTTATTCAGAAGTATGAACCCTAAGGATCTGAAGAATTTGAAATAGTTACGTGACATTATCGTGGCATTACCAACAAGTGACGAAACCTGCATTTTGCCTCAATTTTCGGCCATAACATTTTTGCTATTAGTCGGATCTTCTTACGTGTGATTTCATTTTGTAGGTCTCATAAATATCTAAAAATCTTGTTGAAAAGGTTTTTTTGTTCCTGTCAACACTTTCGATTGAATCCCAAAAAACCCGTTTTCTCATTCTTTGTTGTCAAATAAAAAGTTTTCCCACAAAAATTGGTGTACCCATGTTATGCTTCCATGTTTTAAATACCCCCTTTGAACAACTTGCAGCAATAAAACCAGACTTTACAATTATTTCGAAGAAATTTGCTAATATGATTAGACTATTAGCTAGAGAATGTACTATAGCAATCGAAACCTTGCCTGTCGACTCCTTTCCCCCTGCTCCAAATGAAGTTCTTTGAGTTAGCGATAATATTATTCAAGGAAATGTCAAGTAAAAAAGTGCATTTGACCGTAACAAAGGCTTCATAGAAGTAATCTTGGTACGTTCTGTGAAAGTAAAAAATATTCTTAGTAGCTTATATTTTGGAATGGAGATATGTCGTACGCCAATGAGGATAGGAAAAGAGTGTTTCTGATTAATCGGTTTCAATTTTGTATAATTTAATTTTAATCTGATTCGATTTACGTTTTATAATATATTTTATAATGCATATAAAGGTGGGTTTGTTATAAATGCCCATAATCAATTTTTATTTCTGGTACCAAGTGGAAAAGAATTAAATTATTTTATCGACCGCCTTTGATTAACAGTTATTTCAGTGTTCGTTTTAGTATATACATATTTATATATTCTAACGCATATCCCAAATGTATCCGTAAATAGCACATATTCTGAGATATGGCAGAATAAAGTAAAATGAGGTCAAGACTGCTTGAATATCAAAATAGCAGACCCTACACTATCGAATACTCAAAATGGTTCATCAATGTGGATCCGTTGAACCTGAAACAAATAGAAACAGTTTTTCAGACATTGTTAGGATTTTAAAGATAACGTGAATTGGCTCTGGTAACGCGGCTGTTGACTAATGTAGTGAATTCAATAGATGTACATCGATTATTATCAAGAATATGAACAATGCATTTTATTTGAAATAGAAGATACCTGCAAAAAGTTGGTAACCCATTACGCAAAGCTTATACTCGGTTATTTAATCACTCAAAATGACATTCAGGGTAGGTGGTACACGGTCTCTGACTGTCGAACGCGGAGGAACCACCCGGCGGATCTCGTAGGCGGGGCCAGAATGTTTATATGTTGCATGCACACGTGTTCCTCACCAGTTTCCGTGTGGCTGTATACCCCTATAGCCCCACTGTACCTCATGGGTGTTTGGGCCCGAGGCCTTCGTGGTAGTTCGAGTATAAAAAAAATCTGGATCTCAAAGTACAAATTGAACCTTTGCGTTAAATATCTTAACACGTTCACTGCCGATGACTCAACTGTTGAGTCACAGCAGCTTCCCGGCAGAAGCCGATGACTCAAATGTTGCGATAGGTTATTGCATCAGCCAGTAGTGCGTCGGTTACTGAAAGGGTAGCAGCATATTACACCGGCCTTTTATTGACTTATAAACACGTGTTTTTGCGCGATTGGTTTGAGGTTACGTTTTTGCCTTCAGTGTACAATGGACAGCGAAATTCCAGGGCCATCTAGACCGAAGAGAAAGTTGGAGGATCCTAAAAGAGGGAAATTTTTTAGTGATTCGGAGTTAGAAGCATTAGCATACTTATCAGAAAGTGACGAGGAACCTTTTGTAGACAGTGGCAGCGAGTATGAGCCTGATTATACGAGTTCAAGCGAAGAAGAGGAGATTTGGGAGCATGCTATGATCCCTGAAACCTCCGAAGAAGGTGATCGCTCTGAGGTTCCAATGTGGGCCGATAACCCAGACATAAAGGACTTTCCATTTTCCGGCAACCCTGGACTAAAAGAAAACTTAGCATCTGACGACCCTATTGACTTTTTCAATCTATTTCTTACGAACACATTTCTCGAAAATATCATTGTTGAAACGAACAGATACGCCGAGCAATTGTTTTTGAGCAAAAACACCAGGGAGAAGTCAAGAATAACCGACTGGAAGCCTTTTACAGTTTCAACATTGAAAGTTTTCATAGGGTTATGGCTTCATTTGGGCAATATACAAATAAACCGGATGCAGGACTATTGGAAAACTCACATGTTGTATAATCTCGAATGTTTTAGGAACCATATGAGCCGAAATCGTTTTTTGACGATTCTAATGTGTCTACGTTTTTCCAAAAATCCTGAAAGAGGAGAACCAGGATATGATGACCGTTTATCGAAGATTAGATGGCTACAAGACTTTTTCAACCAAAGAATGGATGAGATTTACTACCCCAATAAACAATTGTCTCTAGATGAGTAGATGGTCTTGTGGAGGGGTAGATTGCTTTTCCGGCAATATATTAAAAATAAAAAGCACAAATTTGGTGTGAAACTATATATTTTATCGGAACCTAATGGTCTCGTGTTGAAAGTGAGGATATATACTGGGGGCGAAAAGGACATGCAGGGGGAATTGGGACATTCTGCAAATGTTGTGTTTTGTCTCGTAAAAAAATATCTTGACAGACGACACTCATTGTATATGGACAACTATTACAATAGTATTGCTTTGGCCAAGGAACTACTTTTGAAGGGAACCTACGTGACTGGAACACTAAGAGCGAACAGGAAGGGCAATCCATCTGAAATTACTTCTAAGAGATTAGCTAGAGGTGAAACTGTTAGCAAATACTACGGTGGAGTTACAGTTGGGAAATGGCGTGACAAGAGAGACGTGTTATTCATTTCTACAGAATTCGATGGTGAAATGGTGCAAGAGGAAAATAGACGAGGAGAAAGTAAGCAAAAACCCAAAGCGATCATTATGTACAATAAGTACATGTCAGGAATAGATCGCCAAGACCAGATGCTTTCGTATTATGCAAGTGAACAAAAAACCATTAGGTGGTACAAAAAGATGGGTATTCATATAATATCAATGATGCTTCTCAATAGTTATCACCTATATAACCAATATTCAACCAAGAAAAAACTAAACTACTATGACTTTCGACACAACATTATAGAAAAATTATTGTCAGAAAAAGAAGATAAACCTGAGGCTGATCCATGTCCCAAGAAAACAGCTTGTCATTTGCCTGAAAAATACCAGTTAGATGCTGCAGGACGACAAATGAGAAAAAGGTGTAGAGTGTGTTATGAAAATAAATCGCGCAAAAATACTCTTTTGTCCAGCTTGCCCAGACAAGCCAGGGTTATGTCTTGGAAACTGTTTCCAATTGTATCATACATCAAAGTAAGTGCCCACTTACTCTTTTTGCGTTTTACGTAGTTCTAATGTTAGGATACCATATCCTCGTGAATACTATATATGTTAGTTTCTGCAATAAAGGAAAAACCAAAGTTTAGTTTTGTATTTTTATTTTACGTTTTTTTAGTTTATACTTAGGTATCGGTTTTACTGATGTTTGACTTGTACCGTTTTAGAAAAAAAACTTTGACGTGTTTTTTTTTTGAAAAATATCACCTATTCTTCTATTTTCTTAATTTTAACTTTGGCATTTATGTTCTTTGGTTTATTGATGTTGTATTTGTACCCTTTTAGAAATACATTGTTCTAAATATTTACCTAGCTTCCTTTTGTGTTTGGAAAATTCGACTGAATTCACTGTATGGCTCAAATGTTGAGTCATGCGGCCTCTACTTGTAGAAATGCATCTGAGAGGCCGATGACTCAGCCCTTGAGTCACTTTAGTTTTGACACTCAACACACAGAACAAACAAACATAATATATAAGAGATCGCTAAAAACACTTTTGGCTTTATGATTTTTCGAAAAAATATATTGGCCTCTCAAAGAGTTTTTTGAAGTTTGTATGGCAGCGCACGTGTTAACATACAGAGTACTGGGCAACCACGCATATTCTTTGATAAATGCTAAGATTCCAGGATATCGAAAAGAAGTACTTTTTTCCACATATCATCCTCAATCTGTACAAGGCTCAGATAAGACCTTGCGTCGGACACTGCCCAGATCTTTGAGGTGCTGCCGTCCCGACCACGTTACCATAGTCGATGCTGTTCAGACGAGAGCTGTCCGACGGATCGTTGACTCTTCTCTATCGGACAGTTTCGCATCCACCGGCCGTCGGTGATCTAGATCTTTTCTATCGCTACTCCACCCTCAGAGGTCTGTTCCGTGTGCCTGCCAGATAGATCCGCCTGACTACATCCAGAGCTGGCCGATACGACCGCTCCATTATACCTAGGGTGTCGAGGTTGTGGAATGATCTACAAGAGGCCTTTCCGAGCTCTACTAACCTTGGGCAGTTCAAAAATCGGATCAAGTTTTTAAATTAATCCGGCGATGACTTCAAGTATCACCTAGTACAGCGGTTCCCAAGCTTTTTCTTTCTGCGAACCCCTTATAAAAAGTGGAATATATCAGCGAACCCCCTGAGCAGCCGCTAGTGAGAGTAAATAAAACAGTACTATTTGGCTGTTATCAAAATTTATTAATCATATGAATAATAGTTATAATGAACAAGGGAAGTTAAAACATAGCTGTAACGTAAAACATTTAGAGAAGCATCATTAAAAGTAACTAAGCCTTACAAAAAAAAGGAATAATATAATACGAATACAAGTAATTCGATACTTGCAAGAATCCTCAATGGGATATTTGTGCCTGTTTGTTGAAACAAAGAAATTCAAAATTTGGTTCAATGTCTGAAATCTTAAGTCTTGGATCGGGTTCTGCATTTAATTTATTTCTGTACTGTAACAAAACTTTCATGTCTTTTTTTGCTAAAACGAATACCCTCATTTTATACATTGAGCCAGAAGTCTATTTAAGAATAATCTGCAGAAACAGCTCTTAGAGAATTGTCAGATGATAAAACAATGAGCTTTTCTTTTTCCAATAAATATAAAGAAGTGTTAGAACTTATATTTCCTCCAAAAGGATTGCATATCCAGTTGTCTGATTCAGGTCTGTTAGGAAACAACTCTTTGAACCTTACTTGAAGCTGTTTTAGATGATCATTAATATCTGTTTTAATGTTTTCGTTAAGTTGAATTTTATTCTCTGATAAAAATCTGCCGAGAGAACCAAAATAATCGTCCTCATTCTTCTGCAGACATTGATTCCAAAAGTTGAACTTCTTTAGCATGTCTTCTATTTTATCATGAATATTGAAGATGGTGATTCCCGGACCTTGTGAAGACATATTTAGTTCATTTAATTTATAAAAAATATCAGCTAAGTATGCAAGTTTTTGAAGCCACAGAATGTCGGATACAAAAGCCAACAAGAAAAAATGCCTGAACTTCAATTCAAACAAGAGGGTCAAAATCTTGCCACGAGAAGGCCACATAACTTCTGTATAAAGTAATAAAGAGACCTGAAGACTTCCCAAGTCGTCCCAAATTTCACGGAATGGTCGAAAATTTGTCGCACGGGACTTTACTGAATTCACAACCTTTACAGCTTCGTTTAAAGTACTGGCTAACTCTGCAGGAATACGCTTGCATGCTAATGCTTGCCTATGAATACAGCAGTGAGTCCATAGCACATTCTTGTTAGTCGTATAAGTTTCCAGTGGTTTTGCAAATAACACATCGTCTTGAACGAAATTATTAAAAATATATCTAACATAGACGAGCAATATTGCACAGTTTGCCAGAACGGTCGACTCGTCAAGCTGAATAGCAAATTAATTCAAGTTTATTCTTTTCACAGGTTCACTATCAACACTCTTCGCCAAATCGTTATTTCTCAGTGACACTGTGATGTGTGATAAGGAAACAAGATCTATTTTTATGCCGCTTTTTCTCCAAGCATACACATTGCGATGTCTTTAGCACAAGGTCCGATCAAATTTTCTGCGACTGTATGAGCTTTTCCAGATCTTGCGATTCTGAAACTAACTCGATATGATGTTTCAAGAGCCAGTTTACTATCTGCGTTGAAAGCCGACAGGTAAGAAGAAACACTACAATTCTTATAACCTTCCAATTTCCTTTTAAAATATTCAATAGGTTTATCCTTGTGATCCGGATGTCTTGTCTCAAGGTGCCGACGAAGAAGCGATGGTTTTAAACTACTGTTGGCCAGGACTTCAGTACAAATTACACAAAGCGGTTTAGGTTCTGGCTCTTCTCCGATTAAGTAAAAACCCATTTGCAAATAGTCATTGTCGTATTTTCTTTCCTGTTTTTCCACCATGCTCGTCTATTTTCTCATTACTTTTATTCTGGCGAGAAGGTACCTCACTATAACTTTCAATATCGCCACTCTGTGTTGGACCCAAATCTGGAACCGAAGAAGAAGCAGTAGTTGATTGCGCATCTGGAGTTTCGTCAGAGTTAATAAAACTGACCGTTTTTGACCAACTGTCCATCTTAAATTTACAGAATATTATTCTATTTATTTAATATCACGTTCGACATGCGTATGGTTCACGGAGCGCGTTCGTCTGAACTCTTACATCCGTGACTGCGACCTTTTTATATCTTCATACGTTATTCTCGTTCTTTCCAGTGCGTTTTTAGAAACGTCTCGGTGTGCTCGATTCGCCGAGGTAGAACTCTTGCCGGATTGTTGTAGCGGCGGTGTTGCAATATTGAGGACAAATTCCGCCATAACCATAACTTCTTCGTGAACCCCCTTTATATAGCTCCGCCTGGGAAACCCTGACCTAGATAATAACAGAGGTCACGTCAAGTTCGAAAATTGAAATAGCAACGACCTTTTTTGACAGCCGACTCCTGGAAAACATCAGACTCTACATCGGACTGCATTTTCATACATGAATTCAAGTAGCCATAAGTGGTTCAATCAGGATATTGAAAGAACAATTTATCTGCAACCCCAAATTTAACCCTGTTAATGACCTCAGGTATTTTGAAGGTCTAGTTTGTAGGCCGGAAGGGCATCCACCATTTTTGACAACAGTATAGAAATACGCTCTGATGTAGAATATCGCGCACTACATGAATCTGCTGTGAAGCGTCGCGGTTGCTATTCCAATTTACAAGCTTAACGTGACTTCAGCTTTGAAATAGGTGAACCGATTTCCATCAAACATAGCTAAGAACTTCTTGACAGACAATAATTCAGATTGAAAAACTGCACTCATCTCGGTTCATACTTTAGGGACCAACAATATCACAGACACACAGATACACTTGTTAAATTCAGTCGCGGGTTAAAAACACGATTATGGCAGTTTGAAACTTGCAAGATTTGTATGTCTTATCCAATATCACAGTACCTTGACTCAGCAGCATTCTTTGATTTCTAATTCATTGAAGGACCGTCTTATTAAATCAGTGGATGGCAACCCTTAACACTGCACGTATATTCATAATTCAGCAACTATAACTACTCAAAATAGTTGTTTTAGAATGGATTAATGCATACTCTGTTTCTAATCCTGTCAATTACAAATCGGCGTGTACTAGGCAGCTGGTTGTAAATTCAAAGCAAACAATTTCCACAGGACGCGTCGAATACCGATGTTGGAAATTGAAATAATCCGCTATTTTGATGCGGGCTTTCTGGAAAAGCTGGATAATGTTCAATGTCAATAATTACGACGAAGCTTCAGTGAATGATGATGAAGCATTATTATTATATTATATTCTGGTATTTTGTTCAACTAGAACAGGTTTTTTTACTATCGATCACATTTACATTTCATAGTAAAGTATCCATCTTGAATAAGTGACAACGCTTTTCTCACGTCATGAAACTTGCATGGCAACGAGGATCTTCAACACCTTTGACAGATTTATTAACTAACAAACATTTAAACATTTTTTCAAGACTAACTGGAGAAATTATTATTAACCGCAATGCAACAGTGAGAAGTAGCTCGATAACAAAGAACCCCTAGGTAAATGATAATATCATTCAAGACTGCATGTTGAAAATTAAATTTTATATTGTGAAATATTTGAAAATAGGTAAGAAATAATTAATACTAGGTATAACCTCGTCATATAGCTACTCTACTCAAGTATTTCAATATGGAACGTAAAAAAAACCAGCTTTTAATTTTAGGAGAATGAAAACATAGCCAGAAAACGTTACCTACCCACCTTACTGCACTTTGAAGCTGAAATGTTCCAGGGCGCAGGTCATACCTGCCTCCCATTACATTCGTTTGAGTTTGTCAGACAACTAGATGTTTCAAAGTATATATAAAGTGTCGAGATTCTTGGTAAAAGGAACTGAGACTATCTCCCAACTAAACAAGTTGGGTTACCTCAACGTTGAGGTACATGCCATATATCAACCGTTACCGATAAAAAATTGCTTTTATTTGGCTTAATCTGCTTTTTGCAAAAACATTAATGACTTTTCGCAATTATCTGAAACACTACGACCGTATGGAAACCCACGTACCTTTATACGCTTTCGCATAACGGTATAAATTTAATGCTGTAGTACTGTCATACTGGCGGCTTATGCCTAGTAGACTTGTACTTTGCACTTGCATCTTGACTTCTGACACTGATAATGATTTCGTGATTGAAACAAATCGCATCTCTGTTTTTCTCAGTAGTCCTATTTCGTGGGTCTATCCAGCCTTACTTCCATTAGCTATGGGTAGTCAATGGGTGCTTGCAATGTCACGGGACGTTTTTCTCATCTCTATACCGTTCCTCGATGTGCGCTAGCCTCAACTGTATTAACTACTAAAAAATGACACTTTTCGAGTTGGTATTATGATATTATGGTGATTATTGAGTACATGGGCACATTCAATGAAATCTTTAGGATATGCCGCCTTCTCAATAAACGCCTTTGGTTTTTTGGAATTTTGTAAGGGATTAAATTCCTTATCGTCTCGCTTCTATAAATATTTGACATACGGTATGATCAAAAATTACCGGTAATTTTTAATTTCAGAAAACTGCACATGACAGAACCGGTGATTTCTATTTTTTTTTTTTTAGAATGGAACGACCTGAACTGACCTACGTGTCAATATTATAGCGCCAGTGCCTTATTAGTATCTGACAACTTTTTAACTTTGTTCGCATTTTGATTGATGGATCGTTTTGATCAGCAAATAGTTTATCTGAAATTTTGTGTTGCTAACACTGATGCATAGAGGATGTTGCAAACAGCCTTTGGGGAGTCTGCAATGTCGAAAACTCGAGCATACGAATGGTATAAATACTTTAAAACTGGTCGTACAATGGTAGGGGATTTGCCTCGTTCCGCCACCCATCCACGTTAAACACCGAACGTCAAAACAGTGAAGGTAGTGGTTCTCGGAAATCGTCATACCAGCTTAGATTGCTGCTGTACATTTTGAAGCGTTTGAGCGATGCCGTACGTCATAAACGGCCGAAATTGTGGGCCGATAATTCGTGGATTTTGCACGACGATAACGCGCCGTCTTATCGGACCAGAATTGTGCTTGATTATTTGTTCAAACATCAAGTAAATACCACTGAACAAGCGAATCCATCTGATATGGCTCCGTGCGACTATTTTCTCTTCCCAAAGCTCAAATTACCATTTCGGGGTAAGAGATTTCAGTCCATAGATGACATCAAGCAGAATGCGACGAGAGAGCTAAAGGCCATTATAGGAGTCAGAGGGCATGAGCGGTCTCATTTCTGGGGAGTAAACGTAACCTACAAATTTAGATTTTTCACGAAGGTAGGACAAATGTTTGGTATGATACTTTGTAAAATTCGGTAGCTTAGTGATGTTATGACGTCACAAAGATGGCCGCTGGGCGAAAATCGCAATTAACCGTTATAAGTATGGTTTCATTTGTTAGGAGTAAAAGTATCATACAAATTTAAATTTGTCATGAAGGTAGGATAAATGTTTGGTTTGATATTTGTAAAATTCGGTAGCTTAGTGACGTAATGACGTCACAAAGATGGCCGCTGGGCGAAAATCGTAATTAACCATTTTAAGTCTGGTTTCATTTGTAAGGAGTAAAAGTATCATACAAATTTAAATTTGTCATGAAGGTAAGATCAATGTTTGGTATGATACTTTGTAAAATTCGGTAGCTTAGTGACGTTATGACGTCACTAAGATGACCGCCGGCCGAAAATCGTAATTAACCATTTTAGGTCTGGTTTCATTTGCAAGGAATAAAAGCATACGCTTGATGAAATGTTACAGCAATAGATTCCACCTGTAATTTTTCTTTTATGGCTAAAGAACGGCACATTATTTCATAAACGGTTGTAAGACTCGTTACTAGAGCATCAATTGTTGGCAAGTATCCAATTTCTGTGGGATTTATTACAATGCCCTTTCGCAGTTTGATATTAAATCCTGTCCAACTGGGAACGACTTGGTGTTTGGGATCAATACAGCGCTTCATAGTCCACAAAACGTTTTTACATCTGGATTTCAAGATTATTTTCTTGTGTACAATGATTAGGGCCAACACTTCTGTCAGGGTTGTAAGGTTGTAGAGAGGCTCCAAGCATTGGTATGGTTCGTAGTTTAAGCTTTCTGTCAATAATTATTTGCTCCTGTGTATCTGTACCTTATGCTAAAGCGGAATAAGCGGTTATAATCCCATTAACTCGATGAGTGGTACTACCGCCTGAGAGAGTTTCTTCCAAACGATCGATATTATCCTATGCGAGGTGTGTAAATGCATTCGCAACAATATTTCTTGGAATTACTAAATGTTGCTCTTCTCCAGCGGAAATCGTTTGCATAGCTATTGCTGTCTCAATTTCTCCGATTTGGGAGTATGAAAGTCCATGACCACATCTATTTAGGAGTTTAGTTAACTCAACGACTATACGAGAGAGGGATTCAAGAGCAAATGGGAGCAGAATATGCTTCGGAGTTTTAAACTTTCCCTCTGTGACAGCATGAGTAAAATCTGGACCGAATGACCAAATTAAACGAGACACTCTACTGGAATGTTGTATTCTGTTATCCCCTCTCAAGAGAGACTGCAGGAACAGATGGGTATTCTTTGGAAGATGGAATTCAGACAGGTCTTCAGGCGTTGGTGGCCATACATTCCCACTTTGAAGTTGCAGGTTTTCATTACGGATTATACATGCAGCAGTAATCAAATTCTTATCGGAACATGTTTCTATTGCTTTCAGTTTTGCAGATAATTGGTCATTCATTCGAACTAAATCATCTCTTGACATACTGTTTGGTAGCATTAACAGGTGACCACTATCGTTAGAAACGAAATGAATTTTGGAGCCATACAAATTTTCCAACTTCCGTCTTAAGTTTTTTTTGGTGTGAGACTCCACTTCTGAGACTCCATTGTTCTTAATACATTGAACGTAACGGCTGGTAACCTCGATAAATCTCACAACTTTAGGATTATCAAGAAGTTCTTCCATATACTTAGTAAGTTCACTAAATACAGCTTCTTCCACAATAGCATATTTCTGAAATTCCTGTTCTTCTAGGGTCGTTTCTGCTATTTCATATTGCTGAACTATCACTGTGCGTGTACTTACCATAACATGAAAAATGGTACTTTGCTTCTGCTGAAACGAAACACATAATCTCAGCTAACCCAACAATTCTGCTGTCATCTTTCGATATAGCATACGCTTTGATCGTATCACTGGTCTCAACTCTACACAATGCACTAGTTTCTCACGTGTTCTACTTCCCGGCTTGTACTTCTGTTCTTTCTCACAAAAAATGCAGATGAATGGTAGAATTGGTCCTGACGTATTTTGGTGTAATGAGTTTTTACGTAACCGCACTGTAGATGACAGACTTACTAAACTGCTGTTGTCGCTGGTACAGTGAATGATGCATTCATTGGTTGTATCTGTCATTTTTACTTTTTTTGCCAGTGGTGAACAGTCTGGCTCAGGATCCATATTATTACCTGAAATAAAAAGGCAAAAGTTGACTATTAATTGGAATAACAAGGCCGATATCTGCTCGGCGATCATCTTTGTAACATCCTCCCGTCACTAGCCTACCCAATTTTGCAAAGTATAATCCCAAACATCAAGGGCGTCGCCAGCCGGTGACCTAGGGAGGGGGGGCAGCATAGAAGAACTGAAGGAAAAATTAAGATAAATAAAAAAGCTTTAACTAACAAATCAGAAAAGCTACAAAAAATTTTCAAATTTCAACCTTTAGGGGGAGGCAGCTGCCCCCTGCCCCCCCCCTTAACGACGCCCATGCCAAACATTAATTGTGAAATGAGTGAAACTGTTACGAAAAATTTAAGGATGGAGGCGCACGTAATTACGAGAATACTTTAGCTTATTGTACTGAAAACCTAAACATATAAACACTGACTATCATTTTTTGTAGAGAATAAAGTCTTCTACAGAGAACTATAAGGAGCGAAAGCTGAAAAATCTCAATCTGCATAAGTTGTCAACGTGTCAGCAGACATGTTTTCACCTGGAGACAACTCCATTACTCATTATCTACGATCAAGGATATAATTTTATGGTGAACCCATTCTTTTTCTGCCACGTGTAGAATGGAAGATGTAACATTTTCGGATAACTTCTGACGTCTTCAGCATCAAAATACGAGTCATCCACTTCCATCAGTCTATCTATTGTCTATTTTGCCACTGCGTAGCGTCAGCAACCGTTGCAATGACCTTAATGGGGAGGAGGAGGGTCATAAATACGTAGTAGCAAAATAAGAATAGACAGACTTATGAGAGTGAACAACTTAGTCTTCATAATAAAAACATCACAAATTATGAAAGAAACACATTTTCCATTACTTCAAAATGGTATTAATTTGTGATCATAGTGAATGATTATGAAGTTACCTCCACGTGAAATAATGTAGTATGCGGGTAACATGAGCAACGTACGTGGCGACTGATCGGATACGGATTTTCAACATTCTTCTCTTATGCTTCAAGGTATCGAAAATATGTTCAAGACTTTTTTGTATCACATTTTATTGCCTTTTAAACTAGTAGTGTTTTATACTCTTAGATTCTTAGTTTAGCTGTGATACGCGGCATATTAAATGTAACGTACACTTAACCTTTAATTTCTCGTAATCCTCTGACTATATGACACATTTTTAACGAGGCAAAGTGATAAAAGATTTATTCTTCTATAAAATTCTTCCTATTACATAGAATCGGTAGTTTCCCACACATTCGTTGAAACGCGTTTATCAAGATAGCGGCAAATGCTCCATCTATACCATAATGCCAATTTGAACTTGTCATTAACGGTACAGCTGTATCTTTAGATTATTACATAATTTACAGATGCAAAATTTCTAGGATTTCCCTATGTACAAAATCTCCCTAATTTACTTACAAAATAAGATATGTCTTTTTAATGTTATATACCTACATTTTCATCACGGAAAACCATGTTATTCATTTCCCCACCTATAACTGGGAAAGTACTGCTTGGATTTGGATTATTGTACTATGACCAGAACGAGAAAGTCTTGTAGTTTTTGAAAATCGGTTTAGTGACGGTGAAGAAAAAGGCGAATAAAATAAACTCAAACTTCTTTTTTCGACATTTCGGAGGATGCTGATCATTTTTGAACAATTTTTCAGTAGTAAAAAAATGGGGAGTGCAAGTTGTAGTAGACGAAGGATGGTATATCTTATTTTTTATATTATTCTAACCCCGTAATTCTGTGCACCTATTAGACGTATTTTACATTTCATGGGTTTGTCCGTACATTTGCCCCTAAACCTATAAAATATAAATAAATAATATTTCCAGCAGACGGAGCCCATATCGAAGGCACATGCCTCGGGGTTATTTCTAAGTATATTTTACGTTTGATGCTCGATCCAAGAGACTGATAAAAACATGTATAATAGCAAGCGGCACAGCGATATACGAGGTGAGCGCGATGTTATGCATTATGGGCGTTATGCTTGGAGTGTAATTCAATAAGGTTATTTGATGTCGTGACATAATATTATATGCCATGTACAGGTATATGTATCAAGAGCTATTATAATTATGCAACATTGTTGACAAGTGGTTTTACAAGAGAGATATAAATAAATGAGGTTCACTTGTATGGACACGCTCATTGCTGTAATCTGAGGAAATGATGTTCCGACTGCGTCTCGTAAATAGAGCAGGCTTAGTCCTCCATCCAAAACGGCAACCGCGCCCTCCCACCTTACTCCTCCGCGGCCCCCCTCATTTTTCTACCTCGATAACAAATACCTTGAAATTTCTCAACTTACGAGGTTGATTAAATACTTGGTTTGCTATAAGTCAGCTATCAGTCGTTTAGAGGCGTTGCTGGTGATCTCTGTGGATATTCGGATGAGATAATTGGCAACACTGCTAGCTCTTGCGTCAGATCAGAGTACGCAAACCGCAAACTCTTCCCCTATTTGAAACAGACAACATTCGGCTCGGGTTAAATATTATTGAAATTGGGATTTCTCAGTTTTTGAAAGCCTCGGGGCCACTCATGTTGCAACAACTTTTAGTTTTACTGTATGTTACGCCCAAATATCTGTGCAATCAAAGTACAGTACAGGACACGAAAGGCGTCTGCCTCTGTACCGGCTACACTATAGTACGCTCAGACTGGCGGCAGGCTGGATCGCGTTTTCTGAGACACCTCTCGGAGTTGTTATGCCGAACAATAACTCTGGTCAAGCTTTCATACCTTAAGCACAACTATGCTATTACGATCTTTGCTTGTTACCAGGTGACCGATGGTCTTTTTATTTTTGAACCTATTTATGTACGACGTATTACCTGTTTTTAAGAGCCAGCTATTACAATGGAAATGTAAATTTAATCGACACAGGCTTTATGTACAATTTGTGTAGTTGGGTACAACCTGCCGTTTACTGTTGCAGAGCATTTGTAGTATGTTCTTGCACATCTACACCTGTTTTATTTGCGAGACGATGCCAGAACATAATTATTACATGATCAAACGAAAGGCCTTCACATAATTAAGGTCGAACATACTTACAGGTAAGTTCGTTTGATCATGTTATATTTTTCAGGAATACTCCAAGTAAGGCATTGCTGGTTCAGGCAAAACCTACGTCTTTTTGATGTCAATGCACTGCATGGAAAATTGTACTACAAGTAGCATCAAATGCTTGGGAAGTAAAGAGTCAATCTACTTGATGCCATATCCTCGGCCTATGTAATAATTCTCCCAATAGACTGACATTTCGATGAATATGTGATACTTCTTGTCGGACCGCAGCGCTCGTTACAGCAGCACAGACTGCGTTGGCAAGCATCACGCTGCCACGCCTCGAGTGTGGCTGTGATGTTAGTGAATATTGCAGAAAACGTTGCACTGGAAAGGCAGAGGAGTGTGCCGGAGTCGGATCCGGTGCCGCTAGTGGATCCGAGAGAGGTTCCGGTGCTAATGCACTGCCTAATTTGCATGCCTCCGTCATGAATACGCGATTAGTAGGTGCAGGGTGAGCGGTGAGGGCAAAGAGCATCGATGAACTCATGACCGCCGCACACACAGTGACGCACAGTAGTTCAAAAGTCCTAAAACGTGGCCCAAACTAAAAAGATTCATTATTGAAAAATAAACATAGCGTCTCCAAAATGGCAGACATGTTCTTTGAAAATGTTTGGATTACGCGCAGATTCATGTATTGTACGTTTTTGTGGTGGCTGCTAATGGACTAAATATCGGTTTTTCAATATAGCGAACATGTTTGCGAAAGATGTTAGTTGCTCTCCAGAATGTGCTTTTAATAGTGCTTAATTAAAATAACATCACAAATAATGAATAAGTCAATGTTACACATATTACAGTTATTGAAAGTTTTTAATGATAAGGTAAATTTAATTACTAAACAATTATACATATGCAAGTTTAATTATACAGTTTTCAAATGTTATCGCATTTCTAAGCTGGGAACTCGGTACATCTTCTTTTGATTTAACTTTGTCTTAAATACAAAAATTACATATATACCAACCGGACATATGATTATATTTTAGCAGTACTTTGTTATTCTCAAGGTTATTTTTGAAAATGAAAATATAGTTCAGACGGCTTTGGTGATCTAAACGAATATTACCGCAATAAATCTGAATGCAATCAGGATTTTAAATTTCAGTTGGATAAATACACAAAATGCATTCACTATGACTCTGGGACAGCTTCCATTCTCTTGTATTTCGATCATCATATGGAATGCCATTAACATTTCCCAAATTAGTTAGATGATTCTTCAAACAGGAGGCTCAATTCCAGATGCTAGAATACTTTCAAGGTAGATATTCTTCGATGAACTAGTTTCTAATCGAGACATACAAAGGGGGAAGAGTACCAGTGATATTAGGCGTGTTGAAGAGCAAAGAAGAGCTCCCTCACCGGTAACACGAATATTTTTTATGCTTCCAAACGTGATGCAAATTTTCCCACTACATAACAAATTCAAGTTTATGAGGCGAGCCGGTTCTCACAGGTGAATCCGTCAACCGTACTTGCTGAGGTGCGCATGCATCCGTACACTTCATTCTGGCACCGGTTATTGAATTATATTAAACTTTTTCTTGTTACAGCGCAGGCGCCTGCACATACTCTTACGTTGTTGCCAAACCTATTTGTTGTCCATGCGCAGCTGAGACTGCAGCCAAAGGTCAGCCGCCACGGACAGATACAAACAGCTACGGGACAGCTATGGACAGGCAACTGCTTGTACACCAGACAGCCAATAGGCTTACCCCTCGTCACCATGTGATTAACATACCTTCACACCAGTGGCGTTTATACCCGCATGCCTCAATGTCCGCGAAAAAAACCCTACTTCAATAATCTCTACAAAAAATGAATACAGGCCTGTCGGAGTTTTTAATTCAGATACACCGTTTTGGAACTATTTCAGCCAACAATCCCTTAGTCTTCTCTAAATTCAGT